AAAATATTATTACCAAAACTCAACTCATTCCGTGCAACAACACTTACTGGACCTTATTCAAACCAATTCAAATTGACACAACCCAATGCACGTCTCATACTACTCGAACCAAAAACCATCAATAAAACATACGAAAAACACAATCAAATACTAAAATCTCACACTCCATTCCATTCTATTCCATTCCATTCGATTACATGACATGACATGACATGACATGACATGACATGACATGACATGACATGACATGATATGACATCACATCACATCACATAACATAACATAAGACCGAAGAACACGCCAAACCAGACCGAGCCAAACAAAACTCCACTCATCCAAATCGTACGAGATTGAAACACACCAAAACACATCACATCCCACTCCGTTCCCTTACGTCCCATCTCATTCTATACCTTTCCCTCTCACTAAACTAGCTATATACACTCTCACAGAACACGAGCACACAACGGGACTAACTGATATCGTGTACTTTGTCCACCTTTAGCAGTTCATCAAAAATGCTCCCAATAATGCGACACAACACATGCGCATATGACTCTGATGGGAACGAAGTATGGGACATCTAATGTGGCGGACAGCCACTGAAGTGTTCGTTTACGCGACTGTGGCATGTTGCTGTGAGTGTTAGGTATGTGGATTGGTGTTAATATTGGCACTGTTATAAATGGATTGACAGCGTTTGTGTAAGTGCAAGTGTTAGTGTTAGTGTTAGTGTTAGTGTTAGTGTTTGTTGGTAATAGTGGTAGTGGTATTGTTGGAGCGAGTGTGAGTGTGAGTGTGAGTGTGAGTGTTGCGGTAGATCAAATTAGGGGTAATGTGTAATAAGGAGTGTAGATGTTGTCCACGTGGATGTGGATGTGGTGTGCTTTTGTGATTATGTTAGGATTCTTAGCCTCTGCAGAATGGAGGCTAGCCAAATAATGGGTTTGGACCGATGGTCCAAGTGTTTTCACCATGCACTAATAAACATGGATGAGATCTTTTAATAATAACTTTCTAGACAACGAGTTTTGTCTGTTGTTTGCGTTTTTCTTCATTCCACTGTGTCGGATGTGCTGAAAGCATTATCTTTCTTTTAATTGCGAACGCTTTGGAATTCATTTTGATGACCAATCTCGCGTGCTCGTTTTCCCTTAGATTCAAAATCCATGCTTTCACAAGTTCAATAATTTGCTGCAACTAAGTCCTCAATGTCTTTTCGCGCACTGCCCATATTTAATTTACTTCTTCTAATCAGGCAAGTTTCCGCCTTCCTACCCTTTCTCCCCTCAACCTGTCCTTCCCTAATGCAGCCATTAGTGTTGTATTTTCATGGTTCTTCTCCACGCCCTCAGTGTTCCAAGCCTCAGAACTGTTTACTGAAACCCTATGTGCAATCTCCAGCTTGTTTTGCCCCGATGAAACACTGCTCACCTCTGGCGTTATGATTGACTCGCCAATATTCAAAGCACTCAGAAGTCAAAGAAAACGGCATACAAGTTTCGGCGGAGTTCAGAATTCAGGGAACTTTCGCCGCTCATTAGAACAGAGATAAAGAATTCGGATGCTTCTTTTGCCAAAGAGTTCCTGAAAATCAAGAGTCCTAAGCTTCTTTGGCATGACATGAGGCTTTTATGTGGGCAGAATGCTAAACACACAAATGATATGGTCGATGTGAAATAGCCTCATGCTACGTTTATACATCCTCAGTGACATCCCTTCTCTATATTCCCGTTATGTTCCTGTAGATCATGAACCTTTTTCCACTGCAGACATTTTTAAAATTCTCCAAAAACGCCAAACTTCGTCGGCTGCCGGTCCTGATGGCCTTCTTCCAGCTATTTTCATGCATGGTACTGCTGAGTTTTCTGCACCGATCAATACTCCAGCAAATGAGTCTCTACCCACATGTTCGATTCCTGATCAATGGCGTCCAGTTACTATCATTCCGATTCCTAAAGGTTCAAACACCCCTGGTGAAAATAAAAGGTTTCACCCTATCGCCCTCACACCTGCTGCCCTAAAAGTCATTGAAAAGACTGTTTTTATCCGTCTTCAAACGCAGCTCAGTGTGCCTCCTGACCCTTTTCAGTTTGCTTACAAACCCAAAAGATCCACCCTTGATGCTCTAGCCTGCCTGATCCATTCTATCACTAAATCTTTAAACAACTCTGAGTGACCTGCCATCTGCGTATTCCCTGACTTTTCTTAAGCCTTTGGTTCTTTAACTCGATCTCCTATTCTCCAGGAACTTGAAGTTTCATACTGTCCGGCAAAACGTCTTTCCTGGTTATCGAACTATTTTTATGACCGGGTTCAGCAAACTAAGGTTGGGAAAAACGTATCTAAACCGCTTCACCCTTTCCAGTGTACTTCAGAGTATGGTGCTGTCTCCTGCTGTATTTTCAACCTATAATGGCGACCTTCTGGTTTCTTGTCCATAAAACATAATTATACATGCTGATGATGTTGTCCTTTGTCAAGCTATTTCTAATTACCCATTTCTCAGGAATTTTGAGGAAAACTTATCTCGAATCGAATGTTCCTCTTTCCAGTTGGGTCTAAAACTGAATCCATCTTGATGTTTTGAATGTGCTTTCACTCCCTCTCGTTCACTTTTCCCTGCAGATCCTGTTACATCGAATTCCAAATCCCTACCCAGATTTAGTTCCGTCAAGTATCTGGGTGTTAGCCTAGATGACAATTTAGGATGAACATCTCACATTCAGTACGGTGTCAGTAAACTGCGACGCCCATCTTTTCAAACAAGAAAACCCAGGCATTTTCGTTCACCACCAAAAAATAACTCCAACCTTATTCCTCAATGTGTTCTTCCGGTTTTATTATACTGTTCACCCGTGATTTTCCCCGGCATTTTGGAACAAGATTTAAAGGCATTTCGCCGCGGACCGGTATTCATTGGTAGCGTTTCATTCCTCTCATTTGAATTTATTTTAACTGACCTAGTCAAACAACATATTGAACCTTGCGTAGCTCTGGCTCACTAGGTGTTACAGGGTCCAATGCATCCGTTACACTTTGACTTATTTCTTCGTCGTTCTCTCGTCCACCAGATCTGAATTTCGACGCCTTTTCTTCCAAAAGTAATACGTAAACAAATCTCTCTTGTACCTATCTGGTGCGGGTACTGACCAACAAGGACAGGTGTAAAACGGAATTACTTTCTAAATGTGGTTGGTGTTTTTTCCTCCTTCACTCTCATATACCTTAGCGCCCATTGTTGTACACTTTTTTATTTTTACCCCAGTTTTGTCACAGCTTTTTTGACTGAAATGTAAGCATGCTGCTTGCGAAAGTCTGTCATACAAACACAACAAATTCAGAAGTTATTGACATTATCAAAGCATGTAACTGATAAGTTTTCACTGAAAATTCGCTCCTTTCGAACAAAAAAGTGCATCCTTGACTTGATATTTTATATATTATGGTATATGGGGAAAACGATGGGGTTACAATTAATTATGTGCACAAAGAGGAGGTTTTCTGTCTTGATCAGCACAGCTTCAATAATAGCCAGCAGTTTTGCATTCCGGATGTGTAACCACATCTTGAATGACCGGATCAGTTCCCCTCGATGACCTGTTGGAAGCAAATGCTTCGCGACAGATGACGCTGGATCTCTTGCTGGAATTCATCTTGTGCAGTCTAATTCAGTAATTTAATGCAAAAATCACTTTGGGATATGTTTGGTCACTCGTCGAGACAAGTGCACTTCTCCTCTGCATATATCGTGTCACCGCATCTGCAAGTGAAATGATAGACAACATGTAGGGTATTAAGAATAATATGGCTGTCAGATTGATCATCGAATTCCAATCCTCTGTTGGTTTGCACTGTGCGTAATTGGGCTTCCATATACGTTTGGATTACAGCGGAGTTTAAATTATGACATAAATGAATAAAAATGTGGTCATACTGAAAACGAACAAATAAAATGTCCCTTTCGCTCAGCCGTCAACAAGGGATCCGTTTTCTATTTTGACTTACTGTAATGCTCAATGAATTTCTACTGAAAATTATTCTCCAAAAGGGTTTCTATGGTAAAATCTTCATTTTGCAGTTAATCAGGAGTGCGAATTTCGCGAGCCATGTAGAAAAGGATTCTGACCGAACCGCATCTGCAAGCAACCGCGGGAGGGACCATGGAACAGCATACAACGGCCACACAAAGTTGTTTTTTATGAATGGCCCGTTGTAATGAGCCGTCTGTACGTCTTGTGATTAAAATGTCTAGGAAGGGTAGACTTACGTTGTATTCTTCTTCATAAGACACCAATAAATTGGGACGGATAGAATTGAAAATATTATCAACTGAATAAAATTGCCATCAATTGTAAATAATAAAATACCATCACAATAGCGCTTGTACAAAGGAAATTGGGTAATGTGACTCGTCAACTGCTTTTCGATCATTCCCGTTGCGGGACTTAAAGACCTCCCATCGCCACACCATTAATCTGTTTGTACGCGTTTCCCCAAAAGCTTAAGACGGATATTTTCTGTGCATAAAAGAACAAGATCATTGGGTATTCAATAGGGATAGGCAGTGTAATGTTTCTGGATAAAATAATATCGCAAAGGTACTCAGCAGTTTCTCGAAGAGACACTTTAGTAAATAAGAGATTCGACGTTAGCTAAATACATCACATGATTTCCTACCGTTAACTGTTCAGAAAGGAGTCTCGTAAACAATAAGGGGTGAAGCGTTTTCGGACGGGATCAAGAACATCAACTAACCATGGGCAATTTTGTGATCAATTGAATTTTGCATGTATTAAATGGGTCTCAACGGAACTTCACTTTTGTGGGTCAATGATGATCCTTTCAGTTAATGCGTTTGGGTGCGAACTGGCTTCAGCTTCTTGTACAAGCCTTTCGATAAGAACTCGTGCGGTTGTAGTATCTGTAGATGTGTAGATATTTTCCTTTCGATGAGTATACTGTTCTCCGGTGTTTTGTCCGATAGGAATCTTTGGTAATCAAACAGAATGGTATTCGTCTTGTCATTACAGTTTGTCTTTATGATTACCACACCTGAGCATTTACCTGGTTTAAGAAACATCAAATCATGAATTTCTTCCAGTTCTTTGTTGGCTGCTTTGTAGTCCGAAATCAGGCAGCGTCTTTGGCGGATTAGATCAAACAAATTGTTCAAAAATACCCACAAGCTTGACCCTATATCATCCAGCCTTGTCTATAGATGCCGATTGCAGGTCTTTGATTTGGTCATATTGATTTCCGAACCGTAATCTTATTTGTAATTCTTTTACATGTTTCGATGGAACTTCGAATTTTAGTCCCAAAGACAGCATTTCCTGTCAGATATTTGTAAACTTTGCCTCACAAAGATCGCGAGTGCATCTGCTTGTGCTAGTCGGAAAGACTGAATTTTCCCTTGGATGGCTAAGGCAGTCTTGAAAGCATCTTGTGGTGTTTTGTCTGGTCTTCTGTAACATCTCCCTGAAGTTCCCAAATTTGATTAACAAACCAGTAGTAATGAAGAAAAGATATCAACAAAACCTTGTTGTGCTTCGATAAGCTTCTGCAACCTCTCATGTAATGCATCAATATGAACGTTTGGGTCTCCGCGGATGACATTTCTTAAGACAGGTTTCAGTTGTAAGTGGGTTCCGATGCACTAAATGTACAACAGTAATTTGGAATGCGCACTTTTCTGACAGCAATTTCAGTCTGAAAAAGGTCACCCATATAAAAAACACTCTTGGTGTTGACTTAGCTGACGAAACGCGGCTTATGGCAAGAGAAAATGCGATCAAATTGAATCCGACAAGCGAATAGTTGGAGTCAACACTGAGTTGTGCTGAAATGAAGAAAAACATTTTTCTGAGGTAGTCTATCACCATGTCACGTATAACTAGGATTCAAACGTGCTACGTTATCTGTACCAACCACTATGTGATCAATAAACACAAAGGCTTTCCGGGTTATCTTCCTTCAGCATTTCGTATAAACAAACAACCCAGAAAGACGAGATGTGTGTCGCAGATGGAAAGGTATTTATTTACGTACGGAGTAGCATAATGATTTTCGAGGCATGTACTTCCACAGGCTAATAATCTGTTAGTTCAGTTTATTTCTTGATGGCTTATCTCGGATTTCTAAGCTTGCGGTTCATTCAAAGTGGTGGAGGTCAGTAGTCATCCCATGCCGCACTATGTGCACCAACTTCACTTCCGGAGTGCTATGCCGTAAAGATGCAATAATTCATTTATCCAATACCGAGAGTAAAACATCGATCGTATTCGAATCGAGCTTGTCAGCGGCAATTGTAAAGACTGTATTTTCGATGTGTTCGTGGCTTAGCAAGTCTACAAACTAATAACAAACGAATGGATGCGTCCAAGGCTTAAGGGCATACAATATTTTGTAAAACTTGACATGACTGACTATCCTGCGGTAAAAGCCCCAGACAGAAAGTCTGGGAATATTTGCCGTATGAGTACGACGCATTTAGTGCTACACAGTTTCATTATCAAAGCTCCACCCAAAAGGTTGACCATGCTCTGAACTGCAGTCTATTTCATCAGGTGCAATGATTCTTGCAACCTCATGGCCAATGGAATGGATTTCTTCTTTCTGAACCTTCTAAGATTTACCATAGCTCACACATTCATCGACGAAGTGAATTGATTGCCAAAAGAATTTGCGACGCGATTGGAATTTCTCTAAGAATGCACCACGCAACCTCCTTCCTTCGGTGTCTAACGCCTACCTTCGATCTGGCGAAAGAAGACGCCGCTCACTTAGTTTCATCTCTCTTTGGAGCAGCTTGTAAAAAACCACCGGAAAACTTCACTGGACAGGTGCAATGCATCTCTAACTTTTTTATCACCATACAAATTCACGTAATCATCCAGTTCGAATGTCATTCTTTTACACACCACGTCTTGCTCAGACACCGTTCTTCCCGTGAATAATGCTGAAAGTGATATTTGCTTGAATCAAGATTCCTAGCTGTGTCTGCCACAGGAACACGCGGTGAGTTTGGAGATTGTTTTCCCTCTTTACTTTTCTGAAAATGGGTAACCTTGTGGTTCTGAGCGCGCCAATCTTCGACATGGTGGAAACAAAAAGGAATATTTGATGAACCACACTCATAAGACGTTGATTCGACTGTCATGCATTCGAAGTATTCAGAATTTTTTCTCTGGTCATCCTATCATAGATGGCGAGTCAAGTGGTCAGCTGCGGGATAATATAATATGCTACAATTCTGTTTGCATACTTTTTGCCTCTTTCTGTGAGGCCCCTAGTGGTTTTCACAGTATGAAGGATGATTCATGGAACGATCAGCAGTTAGTTGTACGTCGGTAATGAGGACCAATTGACATGAATTACATCTTCATAACTCTATTAAATCTAACTCGACACTTTGCCAGTTCTAATCTAAGTCTCAGACAAACGTACCGCCGCAACCGAAGTCGCTCAATATCAACTGTTCATAGAACACCATGACACAAACGCAAGCAACAATAAATCATGTAGAACTTAAAATTTAGAGCATTTTGATTTATAAAATTAAGTATGAATGTTATTCGAAAAGATAATTGACCAGTCAAATTTGGATATAACCTGTATCTTTACTCCGTCGTTTTGGTTCACCAAACAGGAGTTCGGATGGCAGCAACAGGCTTTAGTGCTAGCACAACTTTAACTTGAGACCCAACTGAAACCACGATTTTGACCAATGTGATAAGCTAATTAGAACTTGTCAACAGAAGTGACAACAATTTTACTCCCACAACAGGACTGTGTGGAACATTACTAGCGAAGGATTCAATTCCTACACAAAAACCAAATTCTTCGCTATTCCTCCAAACACTCGACATTGTTAGCCTCGGTTCGGAAACTCTAACATGGAGATGGGGGCAATTAAAGTCTGACTTAATAACAATGACTGCGCTGAACAGTTTTCCGAATAACGATCAAAATAATTTACCAACGTATCGAACTGATAGCAGCTACAGTAACCGAAAGGAGCAAGTGGATCAATAAGGACAAAGTATTCGAAGCCAAAATACATATGTATATTTATGCAAATGTATATATATATATATATGTTAATTTGTATGCGTGCGTGTGTATGTGGACGTCAGTCTTTGTGGGTTGCGATGTTCGCACATGCCCGTGCCAGATCCATTGATCAGTTACATAAGGGTACAAAACGATCGAACTTGAGAAGGAGCAATGTGGGTTTAGCAGCGGTTTTAGTGGGTTTGGCAAAGCACAATGCGAACTGGGCCGATCAGAGGCAGTTTAGTAGGAAGGGAAAGGTAAGAGTAGTGGCATCAAGGACAGTTGGCAAAACAACACACGGTGAAACAGTGCACTAGTCGGAAGAACTGTCAACGCAGAGCAACCATGATCAGTTGGAAAACTCCGTTATTGAGGGGCTTGTGGGAGCAAATAATGCGTCTGCTCCAAATGTGAATCGACAACAACAGGAAAACGCATTTTTGTATGTGCACATGTTTGTAGGTACGTGAAGAAACAAGATGGGTGAATCCAACGGAAACTATGCAGTGGACCGACCTGAACTGGCATGAAACAATGGGCTATCAGACAGCCTATCAGAATCCGAATGGCGTTTCATTTCATTTGATTCACACACGACCGAGGAAGCAGCCAATGGGAGTGGAATTAGCGGGATAGATGGGGATTCTGGAGCAGCTGAGTGGTTTTTCTGGGTCTGATAACTATTGTGTGTGTGTACTGAAGGCTGAAATGATTAGCAAAGACAACATGAACAACGAAAAAGGAACTAGCGGAAATATGAAGAGAAAAATCAATAGCCAAAACAATAGCAACAGTAACAATTATGTTTGTAGCAAAGATGATCAGAAAGTGGACACCGATCAAGGTCAGATAAATGAGATAAAAATCGAAATCAAGTAAAAGAATGCAAAAGGTTCAAAGCGCACAGGAAGTCACTATTCAGGAAAGAAGCTGACCGACCACCGTCAGTATTTGCGTTCGTGCGAGCAAACAAATTTCACACCAATATATAAAAAACACGCACGAGCATGTTCACAAAGAGATGTGGAACCGGAGTGTGTGTGTAGCGGTGGGAGGGGAGGCAAAGAGAAGAATGGGATGATCAAATAAGAAATTACTTTGAGGCAAGTAGTCTGGATGTATTATAAAAATAACTTATTTGATTCCCGTACTTCTGGATCGATTCACTCCAAAACTTTTGAATAAAAGTTTGCGTTATAGATCGAAATAGGCAGAGTAAGCGCAGGAAAGGGTAGTAACACGCTCGCGAACACACAGGTATCGTACAGGTCTAATTACAATTTTTATTACTTCTTGTTGCCTGTCACATGAAGTAGGATGCAACATCGAGAATGGTCTTATGTGACGGACATGGGGACGTGATTAATATTGGTGTAACGAACAAACCAGCCCACGGACGGGGGATAGGAAAGGAGAAGAAACAAGTAACGATTCTTGTGTAATTAGACGATCAGCAAACTGCAATTCTAACTCGAACTGATCGGATTGTCAAGATATATAACGAACAAAGAGACAAACGCAAAGATGGAGACGGGCAGACGGGAATAAGAATCTGAATGAATCAAATAAAAGGTCTAGCTTCTAAGCTGTCAGTCGAGCGAGTACAATCCGAAGATGGAATAGTAGTAGTAGTAGTGGGAGGAAAGAACGATCTGTTTGTATCCGAGACAGCCAGATACGTAAAGGTGGAATTACAGAACTGGGCTGATGAATAGGTCAAGGTATGGAACGAGGAAAAAACTAATCATATACACGGAAAACGACCGGGTTCATGTATGGAGAACTCTATCCTTCGTGATCGTATATATGAAAAGAACGAATAGTGAGCATGAAGGATTGCCAACACCTACAGACTAAAGGTCAAGTCGGAGGTGGGGAATGTCTAATCACTTGCGATTCAGACGATAAAGGATATCCAAAAAGGAAAAGTGAGTATGTGAGTGCGAGAGAACGAAAGATGAAAAACCGATCGTGGCTGTGATGCAGCGTGTCTGACGAAATTTGGCATCGGTCACTTCGGGGGTAACCAATCAACATAAGTTCCATTCAGATGGCGATGCACGTGCACGTGTGTTATACAAGAAACTTACGCGCGTGCGAAACAATTCACGCACGACGATGAGTGATGGACAATCACAGTTGATTCAGTCGCACATTGAACAGCGGCAGAGAAAACGAAGTGGTAGGCGAATTCAGGAATCAACAAAAGATAAATCAGATATCCCAGTATATGAGTGCATAGATTATACAATCTATCATTGTATACCGACCGAACCGGTTCAGGGGTTCGGATGAAAGTTGACTGAGACCTTGGTGGTTGGTGGGAACAGTGGTTTGGTTTCGACGGCTTGATGAAAGACAAGTGTACATAGTCAAGCGCGAATGGAAACAGTGTGCGATTCCGGTTATCTTGAAGCTGACAAGAATGTTGTTTGGAGCTTTTGTGACTGGCGCCTCACCCCGCTCGACTCCAACATCCCGGCCACCATTTTAATTTGGCAAATGGGAGGAAGTGAGTGAACGATAAGATCTAATCGACCAGTTGTAGAGACCCAACGATCTCCACAAGAATTCTTAAAAGTGACAGGAGATAAAACATAAGATCAAGTTCCGGACAACTGGCACCGACCGAGAACAACTGTGCACAAACAGGGATGGCACTGACCGCGTGCAATGTTGGTTTTGTTGTTCTGTGACGATAACAGCGTGACCAGTGTTTCGTAATAGCATTAAATTTGCCTCGCGATCAGGAGGTTGAATGAATTTATGCAAAAGTGTGGGTGGAGATTAGGTGAGTAGAATGATCAGTACAGATCCGCAAGGAAAGTTCAATTGGCACATCGGAGAGTAGAAAATACGGAGTGGGACCATCATGGTTCCGACGAGAGATCAAGACTGTTTCATACTTCACGGACGCTGCCAAATTGGGAACAAGAAACAAAAGAAAGAAAAATGGAGAGAAATTACGAGAAAGCAATGTAAACACAAATACGTGTTCATTGTAATTATCATACGTATACCGTCCAGTGGAACGGACGCGAAACACGGCCATATCGGGATACTGTAGGAATGATGGATGTTCACGACTCAGTCTCGTTCTATTCCGTTCTCATTTGTTGAGTATTAGATAACCGGACGTGCATACACACACAAACTAAAGGATACTACTCGGATTCGACTGCTCATACCGAATGAGATTCATCACCAAAAGCTGTGCGTGTCATAACTTAATCATAACTGTTAAAGAACGATCACTTCTGAGTGATGTGAGGCTCATTTGACGGCGATCTGCTGCAAATCACTTGAAAGCAATCAAATGCGACTGATTGTTGAAAATGACCATTTCAGCACTGCATTCACTTAAACATGAGTATGACAGATAGATTGCACATGGAAAGATCAATTTTTCGCGGGTACATCCGTGGTCGATGGACTAGGCGAAGCAAAGTATGACATGCTTCTTAGTTGGGTTTCACGGGACCCGTCTACACGTTGGTTGAAAACACTCGGCAACATGCCCAAGTAGAACAATTATGACGAAAATCTACTATTTTGTACCTAACATAATATTTCTGCTTCCTTCGGAATCGTCGTACCCCTCCATCCGTGGTCGATGGACTAGGCGAAGCAAAGTATGACATGCTTCTTAGTTGGGTTTCACGGGACCCGTCTACACGTTGGTTGAAAACACTCGGCAACATGCCCAAGTAGAACAATTATGACGAAAATCTACTATTTTGTACCTAACATAATATTTCTGCTTCCTTCGGAATCGTCGTACCCCTCTACAAGCTTCGAATAAATAAATACGAGGCTAGTGACCGAAACATCAAAAAATGACCCGAAACGCTCAACCAAAAGTTCGACCGACGGTGGTCAAACAGTTATCATTAGGAGCTTTACACCTATGGTCCCGGGTCCGAATCCTGTTACTGTCGATCACTTTCCCAATTAGATAACCTTTGGTGTGCAGCGACTCCGTTGCTAAAATTTGTGTATAATAAATAAAAATAAGTAAAACACAGTATAATGGAAAATCCACTTGCATTTTCAAATCCAAAGTCAAACATCGCGAGCCGGGATCGAACCCGTTCGCAGAGTTGGACTTCTGGATGCGGAAAATACAAGTGGGTTCTTTATCATCCGAGATCCAGGCTCTTTGTGTCTGTAATACATCCTACGAATTTATGGCATCATTCATTATTTCGGAAAAAGACAGCATGTGAATTGACATTTCGGTTACATCTCGGTTACATTCTGCAATGTTAAGGTACACTTTATATCGATCAAGATTTTTGTCAGTTAGTTTTTGTTACGCTGTCACCAGTCTAATTGCCTCTTCACGTCGTCAAGTGGCATCACATCTGTTCACCACCTCCCATGATTTGTCCCCGAGCACGGAATAAATTATTTCCAACTAACTGAGAAAAGCCGTCTTGCTCGATTTAAAATGTACCCTGACATCGGGGAATGTAATCGTACAGATGCGGTCCGTAAACAAGACGTCTTACACAAAAAACACTTTCTTACTTCCTTTTTTTGTTCATTGTGCAACAAAGTACAACAGTACATGAGGCAGGCCGCGGCCAATGAAAGGCCACCAAACGGGGAAATGACTGGCTGTCTTTTTCAAAATTATTATCATTTCTAACACCTTATATCACCTCTCTCAGATTTCATAAGCAATGACCTAAATCCATTAATTAAAGGTGTTCACATTGACAGTTGGTCGGGCAAACTGAGTACATGGCGACGATTTACTCGTCACACACACACACACACAAAGATGACTCACCATTTGCGGCAATATCGAGCAAACAAAGGAGACTCAAAGGTCGAACTGGAAGGGGATCGGAAGCGGTAGTAGTGGCGGTTTTGGGGAGCGTGAAGATGGAGACTGCACGGGTGATCCTTTCAGCTTACCGAGAGGATCAGATGGCGAGTCCGTTGCTCAAGTGAGAATAGTAGGGGTCGGATCACAAGTCTGACTACTGGGAAGCAGAGAACACCTATGAGACAACGACGATGCAGGGAACGTGTCCGGCTTTGACAACCTGAAACGGAAAATAAACAGAACCGTGTCGGGTATTGGACAGAAAACAGATGGGATTCGAGTGATAAAGTGCGTAACTAGGTTAGGTAAAGAAACGATGAATTGAAGATAGGAGTAGGCATGCAAATACTGGAAGCGCGAGAAAATTTCGAAAACATGCACATATGACGAGTGAGATGGTAGTGATTATAATGTAGGTCTACAGGTCAGAGAAGCAAGATGAAGATGGAATGAATCCATGCGAAGAGAAGGAAGTAGGAACAAAACATGAAATCCGCAAGCACATTACCGATGAAAATTTCCCAGTTGTTATAAGATTTTCTATAATGGCCTAAGTTTTCGGTTCAAAATGCGCCAAGTGGCTGAGCCGGAATCTTTTGGTTACCAAAATATGGGCTTGTCAACTAATTTACCGTGGAGTGACCTTGCGGGTGAGGAAAATGCACGAGAATTTCGAACGAAATTTAACATCCGTACATCAGTAAGTGAATGGATAAACAAAGGGACACTGACAATCCTTTTTATATTCTTATTTGCCTCCTTTATATGTGATATTGGTAGAATATTTCAGGAAGGCAACCGCGGCCAATCAGAGGCCACCAGGTGGGAAAAGTGACCAGCGATGGGAGCAGGATTTGAACCCGAGACAGAAGGGTTGAAATCCCATCACAATGACCTTTTGACTATCACCGATTATGAGCTGAAGCGGCCACTCACACTAAAAACCATTAAAAATTATCGATTATTCTAACTTTGGTTTGCAATGTCCCCAGCTATTCATTTTTTACTATTTTTCTGAGGAACATACTTATCTAGTAGATAGTGTACAAAACCGAACTATCATCAGAAGGTCGATATTTCAGTTGCAGCTCGCGGGAAGGGACCTTTGGATGTGAAAAGTGCATGGCGGTTTTCCATTACCCACGTCTTCGTAGGGACCGCGAAATCTGGTGGTCGCAATTTGCACCAGAGCTGGAACGTGCTACCGCCCTGGAAAATTCCCGCAAGCTGTTCTATCTCATTCGAGTCACCGGTAAGAAGCCACTAGGTATGAGTAAAACAATCTGTCAAGTCGACGGTTCGCCAGTTCACAATCAACAGCGGCATCTCGAAAGCTAGGTAGAGCACTTTCAATCACGGTTTAGCTGACCCTCAATGTCAGCCTCTCCTAGAGCTCTTCCGGCACACGTCCAGTAGCCTGTTTCCACAGATTCACCTGCGAAGGAAAATTCAGGCCTTAGTATGTCACAAAGCGTCGGGCCTCCATAGCTTTCCCACAACCATTTTCAAGGATTTTCGGGTGCAGTTCGCTAGATAACTTTGTATTTTGTTCTCTATTCTTGTGGGGAGGAGGCGGAATCGATTGTTGTCCCCGTCTTTGAGAAGGGCCCACCTGGTGAATGCGCTAGGGGTGTCAGCCTTATCGCAACAGCGTCGAAGCTGCTTGCGTCTGTCGTATTTCGCAGTTTGTACCAAACGCGTGAAAATCAGACTCGCTAGAAGTAGGCCGGGTCTCGCGCAAGTCGTGGATGTATCAACCAAATCTTCACTCTCCAACAACTGCTGGAACACCGTAACACTTTCCAAAGACCGACAGTCATCGTGTCCCCGGACATTTGCGCAGACTTCGACTCCATCGGTAAAACTGCACTGTGAACCTGTCTGTTGAGAAATGGAGTACCTGAGAAGTATTATCAGTCCTCAAAGAGTTGTATTGTCACACCTCAGGTCAGGCTAAAGCCTACGGTCAGCTTCCGTCTCCTTTTGACGTCTTCAGTGAGCACAACAACGCTGTCCTGTGCTCCCATTTCTCTTCGGTTTCGCCATAGAGGATGTTCTACGGAATATTCTGTCTGGTCTTTCAGACAATGATGTTGAACTCCTCTCAGGGGACAGAGTTTTCGACTTGAAATAGGTTGATGACATCAGCTTGCCGCGTGATAATTCACAGGCAGTACAACATGCTTTGAACCGCTTGGCGATTGAAGTGTCCAGATATGATATACACTTTTCGCCTTCCAAGCACAAAGTACTTTTAAAAGATGGGCAGGAGCCTGTGCCTGCACTTATCCTTTGTGGTGATCAGCCAGAGTAAGTCGCCAACTTTAAGCACCTTGGGAGCTTGATGACAGCTGGAGGCGGTGTTGAGGAAGAGATCAATTCACGTATAGCAAGAACTATAGCGGCTTTCGCGAACACACGACACCTGTGGTGTTGCCGTGATATCCAGCTCTCTCTTAAACAACGGGTGTACGTCACCACGGTTCGTAGTGTTTTCATATACGGTCGCGAGATCTGGCCGCTTCACGTTGAGGATGCTCGGCGTCTTTCTGTGTTCGATAACCGATGTCTCCGAAGCAATGATCACGTCTGGTGGGAACATCGAGTGAGTAATGATGAGATGCGGTGTCGTGTGTTAGGCACGGATAGTCGGCCTCATAACGAAGTGATCACTCTACACTGCCTCCTGTGGGTCGGTCATGTTTTGTGAATACCTACTCGTTGTCTGTCTTTCCGCGTTCTGTTTACGCGTGCTGGGAAAGGCTGGAAAAAGTGACGTGCTGGTGAGGCCATGACTTGGCGTAGAGGTATGAAGAAGCTAGCATTAGCACTGGTTTCAATTGGTGCTCCTTTTCTCTTTGGTTGGGGTTTAAGGGATGAGCACTGTCGTTGGTAGCAGATGTTGAGGAACATGACTGAGAATAGAAATCAGTGGTGCGAATGCTATGCGGTCTCTCTGCCGAACTCTTGTGCCCCGCAATCACAAAAATATCATTCCAACAAAAAAAAATGACAGAAAACCTTCAAAAAGCATACGGTGAGAAGGCAAAAAATCAGCACTTTTTCTCCCTCTCTCTCTAGCTAACTGTTTGTTTTATTGTATTGTACGTCCCTTCCCCTATTTTGTAACTGTTGTTGTTGCGTTGGCACCTTGTTTGATCTGAAGCCAGTATATATATATATATATATATATATATATATATATATATATATATATATATATATATATATATATATATATATATATATATATATATATATATATATATATATATATATATTAGTTCAAAGCAATTCAATTCAATTTCGTCAACCGCCAGGCTGTTATCCGAGTGCTCTTGTTTTGTTCACCATTGCTCAGTATAACTTGACAAGATTTATATGTGAAACGAGGAAGTAGAAAAAGCAGTTGCACATATGGTAACACTCATTAAAACTGGTATAACCTGGCCAAACTGGGTGCCTTGTGTGACGACTAGTTTCCAGTATCGAACAATCTACGCTCAGTCATCGTATTATTTAAACAGTCAGCTCATTTGACTCAAGCAATGATGCGGAAGAATTGACGGACAGAATTCACACCTTTTCTCCCCGCAACTATCAAGTCTCGGAGCCTAACTACAGTTGCCCCATGAAGAGTAAGACGTCCTGCCGACACAATCGTTTTTTGGGCACACAGAGGAGGGTTGTGTAGGCGGATGCCGACAGCTTCAGCTGTGGCCAGGATGTGACATTTTGTTTGTCTTGGTTGTCGACCCTGAATCTTATACAGGGCACGAAAAGCCTCGGACGTGTCCGAGGCTTTTCGTGCTTATTCGCCAACCTGTGTTCTCATAATTTGCTCACTGGGAATAATCGGACAACTTAAATAAAATTTGTCTGAGTCAATGCTTTATCTGGTGGAATGAATAATGCTTTTGTACGAATCCAGTTCTGGACTCAGACCGACGAAGCCTGTATAGAAAACAACATGACAGGTATGTCTGAGAAATAAATGTGAATGAATGCTACAAGTGGTGTGTGTTAGGAAATAATCCATCAGACTATCAGCACAATAAATAGCATGCATGCAAAATGAAACAACGTGATTTCTTGTGTCTGAACAATGAGGAGGGATACGGTGCCGATGGGAGGCCAGTTGGCCTTGAGGGTAGATTGGAATCGGACACAAATGACGTGCGCATGCGTACATTCAACAAGGGACTGAACAGCGAAAAGTGACGGGGGTAAGGAATATGGCATGACAATGATTCATGCATTCGGATGATGCAATCAGCCCTTCGAGGTGTGTAATCCAACTGCAGTTGGCATACAGGCAGACTCATTTGGCTCACCATATCAGGATTCTGGAAAGATAACGTGGTGCGGAGTGGCAACAAGGGACGTCAGTAAGAGGAGCTTTTAGCCGACGAAAAACAAATGACCAGCATAAGTCTTTCGTGGTTTCGAAGGGTGATAAACAGCAAATACATTTAAAGGAGATGATACACTCTCACTTAGATAAGAGGACTTGAGAGAAAGGAAAATACGATTTTATGTTTATTTTTATTATTATTAATTCAGTTAAGCCCACCCAGTCATTAAATTTATAGCCGAACACTAACGATTACAGCGTGGGACGCAATCACGCGTGAGAGCCGCGTTCGACTCCCAGTTCGGACTTAGTTTATACACACTGTTGTGATGGTTCCCGATATGTCAAATGAAACACATGTGTGCGTTTTCCGATGATTTTTAAGGTGAGTTAAGCGTTGGCATTGCGTGATCAATCACTTCATTGTTCAGTTCAGTCCAGTTCCTCCAACGAATAGGCTCGCACTTCTGTTCTCTGGTTCCCGCTGGTATCTCCAAGCATCGTCGAGTCAAGGGCAAGAAGAATAATAACATAAATTGGAAAAACCCAAAAAAAAGTAAGAAGCGGAAATCACGAAGACAAAGAAAGCATCTGAATGCAATTACGCCACTGGTGGCGACACCTGGCCATATCACCCAAATGTTTCCAGCCATCTGGTAGGCGGGTCACCTGGAACCCCATCCCGGAAGCCTAATAAGCCCAGGTCAAGTGGTCATGGCTTCCATACCTCTCTGCACTGTCATGGAATGACCATCTCAACTTACCTTCCAACCACTGCCTGCCTCGGATAACAGCGTACGCCGGGAAAATCTATCGGTGGGCATGCGTACCACGTCTACAAATGCTTCAGTATGGTCGTGCGTGGG